GAGGACGATTCGCAAGATACAGATCGAAAAATCAGTTGTATTTACCGCCAATAAACCAACAGCTCGCGTTTTTAAATAAAATCATGATTCCTGATGTTTCTCAGTTGTTGTTTGGCACTGCTGTAACTATGGGCGTGCACTGCAGATTCGAGCACGTGTGATGCACCGCTGAATCAGAACACTTTTTGCTTTCTTAGGCAGAAGACATAAAACATACCCTTTTTGACATAAATAATATGAGTTCTTCGTGTCGTGAATCACCACTGAACCTTTTGGTACCGTTTTCGAGGGTACGGTTTTGAGGAAACGATGTTCGACGTGAACCAGTGGAAGGTCGAAGTTGAGTGCCCGCCACACCGACTCGCGACCACGCAGTCCTGAAACACAAAACGCGATGTATTACTTCACAGGAAAGCAGGCAACACTGCAGTTCAGTAAAGAAGACCCATAAAATAATTCAAGAAAACGCAGCCTACAAACTCTCTTCCTGGATCGCACATGATATATCCGGAAGGTGTCATATTCGCAATGGGAACACTACCACATAAAAAGTGAGAGCAAGAGGGGGGAGATGCAAGGAGAGGGAAACGGAAAACACAAGCGAGCGAACAGGAAAGAAAGGAAAAAGATAGCGAGCCAATATTTTTTATTGATATGCGATTGTACATAAGCAAATCATAGTTCATCATCTGAGTACCCGTGGCAGAGAGAGCCAACGACCAACTTACAGGATCGCATGAAAAGGCGAAGCATGATGGGCAGCTCTGAACGTCTACGGTAACTGATAAGGAGTGTCAAGAACCTTGATACAATCAGTCAGCGATGCAACGGTAACCTGAGCTGATAGCTCTCTGCGCTTATTAAGGCTATTTTCCTTAGAGAAGGATATTCAGATTACATATTTTGACAGAAGGATCTGAGGCTACTGCCCATATTATTCCTCAAAGAAAGCAGTGAGATCATTACACAAAGTTGCCTATCCTGTGGAATGGCAGTGACAGTTCTTGAGTTCAGCTGAAAGAACACCCAGACGTCGTTAGATGGGCATTATCTGAAAATGAAGAATCAATATTTTCCATACCACCTAGATATTGCAAAGAAATAGTAAGCAACAGGTCGCTCTGAGTCGTAATTGCGTCAACTTTCTTCTAAACAGAGGGGGCATTTATGATCCGTCATGTTTCATAAGGTCAGTGTAGGAAGCGTGAATGTCATGGGACAAAAAGACTTTCGCTGGACTCTCATTCCTTATCACCAGCCTGCCTCAATCTACCAATTTGAGGACCAGTTCATGAATTGTCCACTGATTCGATTCGCACATTCAGAATCAGTTATCATCATAAGGCCTGTGAACATCACGGTTTCACTCTGCTAACATGATTCTTATCTTTCTCAAGAGCGTTTGTAAATTTTGTAATTCAATCAAGCTATTAATCATCTAACACCTCAGTGCCGGCCACATTCTCTGGAAGTATGTCGAGTTTTCCGACGTAACGATCAATGAATTAGGTTTGCGTTGCTATCCACTTATTATATTCATCCATCGTATGATCCATAACCTGCAGCGCTTCATATTTCACTAAATCATTCTCGCGTTCAGTCCTGATCCAGCATCCATAAACGAGTACCTATCGTATACATTTATCGGCTCCTTACTTTTCAGGTACTGCGTTATTTTTCTCTTCAGGATTCAAGAGGAAATTCTCCAAACGAATTTGTTTTTACCATTTACCATTTATGCATTAGTGAAGACGATAATAGCGCAGGTAGCAGTCAACTGGCTTTGCATTTTAGATATGCAAGTTCAAACTGCAGCGCGAGGTAAATCTTAATTAGCAACCGCTAATATCCGAGACAAGTAATTCACTCAATGATCTGTGAATTAGCCGATAAACGGTTAGCAGTTCAAAGATCTATGAACAATAAGGAGAACATAACATTCTGGTGTAGTCAAACGAAAAGATGAAAGACCTCTGGCAATTATAGCTACCGTTGCCAGACCCACGTGAGACCTGAACTAAAATCAGCAAAGGAATAAAAACTGAGCAAATTTCATTAACATCGTTCTTATTAGTTGAGAACAGGTTGTTTAGGTAACCGGTGTCGACCCACCAACCTTGATCATATTTAGTACGATTCCTTTAGACGTGATGAATTTGTTGAACACAACCTAAGGTTTGTACGATACAGTCTCAAATCTCTTGAATACCTCTGGCAAACAAGCCCTGCATCAGTGTGTACTTCTTCTGGGGGTGTTACTACCAGGAACAGTCGTCCGTAAAAGACTAACAGTTTTATTGGCATTTATTGTCGTCTCAGTCTTTGCGAAGGCATTTAAATGAATTAGAATTGATTTAAACTGATTGATTTAAATGAATTAGAACGATAGACATCCTAGGTAGCACTGATTTCCTCGATGATCGTCTATCGTCTGACTGTCAGTGTCGCCTAATCGTAATGCAGCTGATCGATGCAGTGTTATTCTTTTTAGTCTTTTGTTTCTTTAAGGCTGTCGTTAAATCAGTCGCGCTGACTGGACCAGACACCATGCTGCAGTCGACGGTTTAAACCATTACCACTTCTGGAGTTCTCAACAGACTTGGATTACTTTTCTGACAACTTAATAGCATAAAACGCTTAACCCACTCAATAATCATGATAAACTGAAAATCTGACTGCCAGATATGGTTCTCCCTCGAAGCGTTCCATCAGCGCTGCTGCCTATGCTAAAAGAAAAATGAAATAGCACTATTAAATACAGTAGAAAGTACACTGTGCAAAATAACAAGACAAAATATTTGTGAAACCTGCAGCGTTGACGACATGTGTAGTTTTGATGGTTCCTCGCGTTGTCTGGATGTCAAAAAAGCCGTCTGGTCTTTCGATCGTTTTCAAGTCGAGGCAGTTTTCGTAGATGAGAGCACCATGTGCGATGGCACCGGCCGCCAGCGAACGACAGATTCCTGATGTGTTCACGTAACCGTCGCCCTCAGTCAGTAACGCACCTTTGATCTGGAAATCAAACGTGAAGGTGCATCAGAGCTGGCTGACTCAAGCAACGAAAATCGCATACCTTGTGCACGTCGATCAAGCGGCAATAGCGTTTCACCTCATTCGGCTGCAGCAGTCTCGCCTGACTTCCATACCGAGACAGGTACTTTCTAAATTCGGCCAGTTTCTCTTCGTCCATCGCCAGCCGAAGGTTACCGCAACTCGTGAACAGGGCATCCTGAGCGCATTAATTAAAAAGTAGTTTATTCGCTTAGGCAAACAGATTCGCTATCAGCACAGCAGTATTTCTGTAAAATATAAATATGATGTAAAACTAAAGAAACTCAACGCGTGAGGCGCTGCTACTTCAAGTCTTGTATGATACCTCTCTGCTCCTCCAGATTTCTTAGCATCCTAGACAAGAAATTTAGTGCTGACTGCGGATCACCTCAGTGCGCTCAGGAATGACGTTAACTTTGCTTCTGGTATCTGAACGCAAAAAGACACCTCGTTTGAACTGCACATGCAAGGGATGGCGGTCGTTCATCAGCAACGAGTTGTAAAGTTGCAGCGCTGAACAATTTAGAGATGACGCTACGCCGTCAATAATTTCCTCTAGGACGATCTTACTGACACAAGAAACAAACACGACAGTACGACGCAGAATATGCAAATCCTTTGCTGCAGACCAACTGATTGGATATAGGTAATCAGTTGTTAATATGCTATACGACTGTCGAATAAGCTTCTTGATGGAGTATGAGAAGTCCTTCGGTCGCAATCGTATCGCATCCTGAAGACGAATTGAGCATGATCCGAAACGTTAGAGAACTTGTACATAATAAATGTATATGCGGAGTAATCCCGTAAAATACTTGTCGGGTACTGAATTCTATAACATTATGTTTTAAACATATTCTTAATAAATGCTTCCTTCGTTAAGCGCCTCCCTAGGGCCTGATGAATTTCCTAAATTTGACGACACGACTTTCTTGAATCCGCTACGCCAAAAGGCAATCCGTTCAATAATGTTGACCACCTGCTTAGCACGCTAAAGATTACCAGAGAAGTATGTAATGCGTGAAAACTTCCACCAAATCCCTACCGCTTGTAAAAATAAACAATTGCTAAATACAGTGTGCGCGCACGTCATCGAACACTGTCGCAAAGCGTTTATTGTTTCATGTACCAACTATAACTGATCGTGATTATACAAACGGTAATTCTTTCAACTTTCAACTTTCATATACTGTGACCGATGAAGGCTGATGCCAATACTGTAATCAAAACTGTTCAAAAACGGTTAATATCATACTACTTACCCGAATTACAACGGCGTATTTGCACCATCCCGTATGAGACATTGATGGTGTGTAAAAGTGCCCATGTATTGTGGCATTTAAGCTGAAGCTAAAACGCGCCTTATTTTGCCCTGACCATATGCGATAGTATCTATGCACTGCACGCGCTCAAACATAATGGAGACGTGGCCTGGTTCAGTTTCTAGGCATCCAGAAGCAAGAAGGTGCTAATATGCCATGATAATTTGGTTAAATGACACATCGATATCGTCGATGAAATTGAAAAACTGCAGCGATGGCAGCATACGAAAACATCGGGTATCGGTATATATAAAAGCTGGTTACTTTTTAACGTTTCGGGCTCGGTACGCAGACGTGCTCTTCGTATTTTCTCCGACAACAGCTCACAACGGGGAACTGTTCGTATCATGTGCTTCACGCACCTCAGAAATAACCAATGTCATATGTGTTTTTCGACCGCTGCTCACAGATTTCACCTGCATGGTCAGACTGTCTCCAGAACTTATATAAAATAGCTTGGGTTCCAGCTTTGTTCCGAATGCGACTGTGCGGAAAAACTACTCCCTAAAAATTGATATCGGGCTTCATTCATTGAAACGAGACCTGAAGACCTGCATATTACAAATTATGCCATCAGAAGATTTGAATTCGCATGTCTTATATTATAAAGTTAATGCATATCCGTCTGCTGCTATCTATTGCGTCTTGTGGCATGTGACATCGAAGCTCTGTGAAGAGAGAGACATCGACTGAAATACTGACTGACTCTTGACTGACTGTTTGGCGTGTTGCATTGATTCACTGAGAGATTGAATCTCTAGAGAAACTGAATGACATGCTGTCTCGATGACCCTCGTTCGACCGGCAGACAAATATTCAGTCAGACGAGAGTCAGCCATTCTCCGAATCAGTGAGCCCGGTTGACTGACTAACTAAAAGACTGGCTGGATCGTAGTCTTTGCATATATCTGATTGGACTGCCTGGATGATTGACTGGTAGACTGGCTGTTGGTTGCTTCTAACAATATCCACAGATGTCCTCAGTTATAGCACTCGCCTTCTGTATAAAGATGATTCATAATGCTTATCACGTTGCTGCCTAGGTTAACAAAAGCTTGAACAGCAGAGTCGCCTAGATCTGTTATATCTTAGTAATCGTAACAGATAAATATTAGGTACAATTGCTGCTGCAGCAAAGGTTATATTCCGCATCGCAAGCAGGTTACTTCAGCGAAATGTGTCAAAGTTTCGAGAGCTATTCCAACGCGCTGGCAGACCAAGATCGGTTTAAACATACTTCTGTTCATTTTGAATCACGCACAGCACATACCGGTCTTAGAATTCCTTTGACAATTCTCTCAAAATGTTGGTCATCCGACCTGACCCGGTGGTACCACCATATTACGAGGATACTTTTTATACCATGTTGCTGGAGGCTTTGGAGACATGCTTCTTGAGGTTTTAGGTGAGCAGAGGTATGCAGGAAAGGAAATAAAAAAGGAAAGTCTGTACCGTTGGAACGTTGACCTTCCTTACACTTTCATGCTGGGACAATATCTGGCGCCCATCTTGTTATGAAGCATTTGAATGGACACTGATCTCCATTTCCACGCCATCAGCCAGGAGTGCCTTATTTTAAAGGCAATCGACAATAGCTACGTGGCAAGCATAATGTGTAGTTTTCTGCTTCATTCAGAGTAGAATTTATTTATCAACCTCGGAAGGAAGAATGGCGAGTGAGTTGACTGAGGTTCAAACCCGGGACCTCTCGGTTCTGAGTCAGACGCTCAACCGAAGGTATGAGCAACCCCGGTCTGCACATAAGTATCGTGAATATGACTGCTTTTATGAACGATATCTCCACAGCGATGTTTTATAGTACGACCTTTCACAATTTACGCAGACTGCCAAAGTTTCCCGATACCAGTTCAATGAGTCGGGTCGCTTAACGATCGCTACAGTCATCAACAGCCAACACCATTCGAAAATATTCGTTATGATCCACTTCCTATACAGCCCTACCATCCCAGTACCTCCGTTTGTCGGTCACCTCTCTACCAGGCAAAAATCTGCCCGTGTCTGCACGGACCTCTAATCTCAGCCTTGGTGAGAATTCTTTGATTCCTTGCAGACATTAGTAGAGACCAATGACTTCGTATATTCACGTGTCTTATCTACTTTGTTGCGATCATCAGAACGTGCTACTGTGATTAATACTTGTAAACTTTTTCTTGCGTTATAATTTGCATTCAACTATTTCTGTTCATAATATCTGAGGCATAGTTTTGCTGCGGAAATCTGAAACTAGATGCAAAGATTCTGATAATAAACCTTAGAAAAGAAAATCGTAGTTCGGCTTAAATACCTTTCCGTCAACCGCCTTCAGGTGCGAGTAAAGCTCGATGCTCGGCCAAATGACCCGCTCGAACCTCGGAGTCAGCACGTGGTAGTAGGTGATCAAACCTGGCTAAACAGTTGAAGTCGTTAACACAACGCTTAAAGCAACGTAGTCAGTCGCTGCGGTCGCCACGTACCGACTTCGTGGTCGAACGGCCAGAGCCGATGAGACTTTTGTCGAGCACGACCACGCCCTGCACGCCCTTCTGCGCCAAGTGATACGCGATGCTGGTGCCGGCCAGTCCACCGCCGATCACCACTACGTGCGCTTCCTTGACCACCTCCTGTTCCTGTGATATGCTGCTCAACCTTAAAATCCGCAACCATGAATTAGCACCCGTAAAATAAAGCTGACAAAACGCAAACGCTCGTTACCTCAGACATGCTTGAGTAAGGGTTCGGTGGACTGTAAACTTGCCACCTGCACGCGACACAGCATGCATCATGATTTTTCGCGGAAATGGTACACAACGCCAACCGAGTTTGGACTAACGGCGAGAACGCTCACAAAACCACGAGGCGAAAAATATACTACCTCACATTAACAGCAACTCAATTGTAAACTAATGATGGGATTATTGCATCGTCATGCTCCGCTACGCGTACCGTATGCTAATGTCGATCGGATCTTGCTCGTCAAGAGACACGACATCAATTACGCAAAGATATAATTGTATGTTTGTTCATACTACAATTCGGAATAAGCTGCCGAAATTGTATTGCAACAGCCTAAACGAAATTTTAAATTTATGTTTCTTTTTCTGTCAAACAGTCTCCCACTTTTCATTAGATACAACATAATAAACAAGCAGCATGCGGAAATATATATACCGAAAACACCACACTTCAGATTCGCAATTGGATTATGTACAAGAGAACGGAAGGCTCTTTCGCATTATTTATGCACATAGTATGTCAAAGTTTCCAAAACACTGCTTTGCCACGCAACAGAGAACTAGAATTTTCCCGCAGCCGTAATGGTTTCAACGAATCTTGCATCAACGCGATTCCTCAAGACAAAGTTGGTTTCATTTCACCTCAACTTTCACGACCGTTTCTCCTTTTGGATCGCAAACACAGACATGACAACAGTCCTTCTGACGTTTCTGTTCTTGTGCCAGCATCAGAGATTCGGAAGAAAGCAATCAGAGACGAGAGAAGACTCCTTCAATACACTTGCACCAGCTCAATTTTAGCCGTCAACTGGGTTTTCTGCCGGTTGGCTAAGTAAGCTGTTGTTGTTTCTCCTTCCTATCTGGAGGCATTCACAGTATGTGTCAAATCTATCGCAGCTGTGACTACTCAATCTGAAGAAGAGCGGATGTGCACCAAAATTTGCTTGGATTTCTCTCTTCCGGACAATTTGAGACGAGGGATACCAACAACTGGTTACAATAGGTTACAAAAAACTAATTTCAGGCTGTTTGCACAGGGGACCGAAGCTTTTGGTTATAGTCCACAACTCACGACCGTAGGTAATCACGGGGTGATGGTCGTCTTAAATAAGTCTTCAGACTCAACTCTGCCTTAGCCACAACGGTCCCGGCTAGGCTAGGCTACCCGGGATAGAAGTTTTTCAGTGATGGTCCACGATTCATGACCGTAGGTAAATATGGCGATAAAAATCGACTTGAATATTGAGAGCTTAGTTTTCAGACTGAGCTCTGCCTTAGTCAAATGAGTCGGGCTAGTTAACGCAGAACGCCGCTGGCTATTCTTATCCGCCGGTCGATTTCTGACTCCAAATTTCCGATCACCAGTAAACACGACCCGCGGTGCTTGAACTTTCCCATCTGGTCCACTAATTCTCCGTTTATCTGAAGAAAGCAACGGGCAGGAGAATGATAACGCAAAAAGCTTTATATTTTAGATGCATTCACAAGCACGGTGGCCATGTCGCACTCGCCTGCGAACATTTCCACGGAGCACTGAAAACCTGTTTCGGAAGACGCCAACAAAACAAGGTACACTGCAAAGAGCGACCTTTTCTTCTTTACATCTTCCCAACGCCCTGGCGGCGCCTGATTATTATCTCTTCATCTTCATCATCATCTTCCATCGCCGCTTCCCCTCTCGGGTCGCGGAGACAGATGCGTGATACAGAGGTTCCAACGTTCCCGATATTGTGCCAGAGTCTGAGCTTCGGCAGAAGACAACTGGAATTCTGAAACAGACACCTTTCATATGTTTGAACAGGTTATTCTTGGCCATCCCCTGTGTCTGCCGCAGGTTGAATTTGCAAGAAACAGCTACTTAGCCTTCCTTTCTGGAGGCATTCGCAACACATGGCCAAACCATCGCAGCTGTGACTTCTTAACCTGGAGAAGCTAAGGCTGTATGCCAAGCCTCTTCTGGACGTCTGTGTTCCGGACCATCTCGAGACATGTAAAGCCAGCCACTCGTCTAAGAAAGCCCTTTTCGGCAGCTTGTACCCGGGTTCGAAGGTTTTCAGTGATGGTCCACGATTCATGACCGCAGGTAAGTATGGGGATAAGGATCGACTTGAATATTGAGAGCTTAGTTTCCAGACTGAGCTCTCCTTTAGTCACAATTGGTCGGACTGGTTCACGCAGAACGCCACTGGCTACTACAATTCGCCTGTCGATCTCTTCCTCCAATTTTTTGTCACTAGTAAATACAATTTCGAGGTACAGCTTCTCCACCTGCTCCACTGCCTCTCCGTTAATCTGAAGAGAGCAGCGGGTAGAAGAAGATGAAAGCACTTGGCTTGTCATTTTAGATGCGTTCGCGTTCGTACCGGTCACGTCACACTCGGCTGCGAACCTTTCTAGGGAGCACTGAAGATCAGTTTCAGAAGATGCTGATAAAACAAGGTCTTCTGAAGCAACCTTCTCGTCTTCACATCCCTTACGCCGATACACTCATCGACTTGGCTGATCCTGACTATTCTATTCATGTACATCCCAATCAGGGACAGCACACAGCCTTGGCGGAGACCAGTGCCAATATTGAAAGGTCTCAACTTAACGACATTTACTCTGACACAGAACCTGCCATCAGAATAGAGTGATTGGATGGCCCTTAGCAGCTGGCCAACTATCCCACATACTCGACGGCATGACCACAGCGTGTGGTGTGGGATCCGGTCATAGGCTTTTTATAGGTCCACCTAACACATGTTCACCGGACCGGCGTACTCGCACGATTTCCCAACAATCTGGAGCAGGGCAAATATATTGTCAGAGGTACTTCGATCGGGCCGGAAGCCACACTGTTCTACGAGTATCTTGAGGTCAGCTATTTCGCGGCACTTGCTTTCTAGCACCTTTGCGTAGACTTTACCTGGGAGGCTCAATAAAGTTATACCCACATAATTGGAGCATTCCTTGTAGTCTCCCGTCCTGAATACGGGTACATTAACTCCCTTTCTCCAGTCCACTGGTGTCTTTCCCGCAGTCATCGCAGTTTGACAGCACATGCCTTGTTCGCCTAATGCCTTGAGCATCTCAGGGCGGATTTTGTCAATTCCGGCAGCTTCTCCATTTTTCAAGCTTCTCACGGCCTGTGCAATTTCGTCTACAGAGATAGTAATTTCGTACCCTTCTGCTCTACAGGCGAGTCTTCCTGCAGCTGTGCGGGGTTAAAGAGTTCCTCAAAGTACTCCCGCCATCGCCGAAGAATGTCATGTCCTCGGTAAGAGGGTGTCCAGACCTGTCCTTCAAGACTCTGAGACTGCCCTTCTTTTCACCTCAGAGCCGGCGGATGGTCTGCCAGAATTCTTTGTTTGCCATGTGGAAATTCGACTCCAACACCTCATCGAACTTCTCCCATGAATCAGCTTTGGCTTTCGCCACTGTTTTCGCTGCCGCCTTGCGTGCCACGACATATCGCACGCGAGTAGAAGGCTCTTTGTTTCCAAGACATTTCTTGAACGCTGCTTTCTTCTCTTTAACTGCCGGTTGTTCCTCTCGTGTCCACCATAAAGATCATTTCTGACCTCCAAGCGGCAGGCCAACCCGTTTATATACGCAGCATTCGGCGGCAGTCTCGAGTAGGCCTCTCTTAAACAGCTGCCACTTGGTTTAAATATCAGTTGTCATCACTGGGATCTGTTCAAACCGTCATGCAATGTTGTTTGCAAATTTGGCTCTCGTGTCCACCGAAGACAATGTTTCGCATTTGATTCTCCGGTTGCTTCTGCCACCGGATCTTCGTA